CTTTTGTGCCTTTGAATTCTATTTTCAAGTAGATGAAAGATCTATGAAAAAATAATAATAATTTTACTAAAATTTAGGGTTAAAATCATAACAATAATAAAAGAAAAATCTTATTATTCGTCACATAATCCCCTCAACTAAGGAAACTATCATATTATCCTTGATATTTTTAAAATCTATCAAATCACTCCCTTCCATTAGTTTTCCGTCTAAAACTAACCGAATCGTATCCCAATATAACAGTTATATCATTTTGTTGATCAAAATAACTTTATAATTTATAATGACGAAATTGTCCTTCTCACAATCTCACAATCTCACACTTTAACATCAACCATTTCAATTTAATAAAATATTAATAAACTATCAAGGGTGCTATTGTCATTTTACAACAACATAACGGCGGATAGTTTTTGTTAGTTCAGTAGCTGTTAAGGTAATGGAGAATATAACAAATTTGGAAACAATAAGGGATTTTATGATTTTAGGCCTAAAATTGAACAAAGAGGAAAAAAAAAGTAAGTAATAGCCTTGTTAAGGTAACGGAGAATATATCATTCCAAAGTTTAGGCAAGGGCCAACAAAGTAAGATAGCGAATGCAATCTGTCTGTTATGGACTTGTTGACATAATGGAGTTCCCAAAAGTTTTGTTTGTTGAAAGTTTAGATGGTATTTGGAAAAAATCTCTGATAGATATACTTCACTACAGAGGCCATAATTTAATTGTCGTATCTCTTTGAAAGGTTCAAATCCGGTTACAACAAAAGTGGGTGCTTAAGTTACTTGCGAAATACAAATATATCTCCACCACATACAAAAACAAATAAAAAGCATAAAATCTAAATTTTATAAGAAATCAAATTGGTAGTGCTCTGGAGCAGCTGAGACATTATATTTGAGAATTGTTCTAAATTTATTGGAAAGTTGACCGAGCTATTCAGAATTTTGAATAATCAAAAAAATAGATGCATTAAAATCTAGCCCTTTGAAGACAGGACGCAATAAGTATTCAGGTGATGTTTATGTTAAAAGTAGCTCAAAATCCAAAGGCTTTTCATATTAATTGTCCTGCCTTTTTAGGATGATTTTCAACATTTTTCATAGTCACATGGTTTCATATGAATTAATAGGCTCTGTCAACAAAATTTAAGTCACTGAATAAAAGCAAGAGCGGGAACACACAAAGCGAGAAAGTAACACTTGTTTAGAAGAATTATGCATCACTATGTTTTAGCGGAAATTTTGTCAGAATCAAGGCACCATATATGATATACTCCCTCTGTCCCAAAAAAAAATCCCTATTAGGAAACTGTTATGCTTATTGTATAAACCAAAACTTTGGTTTAACACAGACAAATTGTGTAACAAAATAAAGCAAAATTTCAAGGGTTTTTGCTACAAATGAAGTACATTATTCTAAATCTAAATCCAACGTAATTAACTTTATTAATTCACCAACATTTGTAGCTTAGCACATGTGAGTTTCGTTTCATACGATAGGACTGCAGATTCAACATGAACCGAAAGGCAAAAACGTCCATATTCGGAAAGCTTGACATCTTTTATTTTTAAGCATGGGCAAGAAGGAACCATATATCCACCATACTTATACTGCATCTGGCAAGAATAGGTCAGAGCACGAACAAAATACATGAGAGGGGAGAATAAAGATTACAAAAAGAGGTGGGAAAAAATGAAGTAACGAACACTTTGGATTCCTTCAGCTTTTCACACAATAACTCTAATGGTTTCTATAGTTGAGCTCGGATCGGTATGCATGATGATAAATGATAAGGCTCCTCTTACTGGGGAGATTGTCTGAGTCCGTATCAACTGCGCCCTCAAACAGCAGCTCTTCGATCGCCTGCAGTAGTAACTTCATCTTCCCTTTATTATTTCTTGGCCGTAGTGCAGATCTTTGCTGTAATGCCACGCCCAACTTAAAAGAGCTGCAATCCACCCATGTCATCAAAAACTCAACCTACTCAACACACTTCCTTCACATTTGATGTCAAAAACAAGTGCATAAAAAAATTTACAAATTTATACTTGTAATCCAAATAATGATAATTCTATCTTAATTTGTAATCGACAATTTTTTAGAGCAACAACTTTGAACTACGAATGGAGATGGAAGCATAAAAAGAACTAGTTTGTTGAATTTTATTAAATTTCAGTAGGCAACCTTCACTTAAAAAAAAAAAAAAAAAACCATTAATCGGAACTTATATATGATGAAAATTCCATCTTAAGTTTAGTGTGGTTAAAAAAAAAATTAGAAAAAGAAAAACGGATTTCTATTAACAAATGGGAACAAAGTTAAAGTCATTCAAGCAAAAAAAAACGTAATAAGTTTCCCCACTTGAGATTGTTCTATTTCATAAAATTTACACCTTCTCACTTGAGATTGTTGGCACTCGTCTCAATCAATACAAATGTAAAAATTATTCATCAATACAAATGATTCTAATTTAGTCTTTTTCGACATATGATCAATGTGTTGAAATGAATTCCTTCAGTATCAGAAACTACATGGCTTGGGATTGTAATTTAGTATGAGAATCCATGGCCGCATGGACCGAAAAATATTCTAGCCCTTTTTACACTTCTCCCTTTCGAAATTTTTAAAATTGTATGGAGTTGTTGTTGAGACTTCTCTAGATGTATCCAATCTTGTATAGATAATCATTTGGAAGATTCAAGAACCCAATTATGAAAGTCTCTTCACTGTTAGATTGATGCCCCACAGTACATTCCTAGACCATTCATTGTAAAGGTCATTCCCTATAAAATGAGGTGGCATTTTATTTGCTCACCACCAAGGAACCAGCAACATAATTCTTTCTTCCATTCTTTCAAACTCCCTCTTGCTTGGTCCAACTTCTCTTCAAAAAGACACCATGTACTACTTGAAAAGCCTTTTATTAATACTAGACTAAGTAGTAATCGTACATAAGTGGATACGCGGCCATGACGCCCAAGGTCATCCAATATTATTATATTTATAAGTGTTAAAATTATTAAATTCCATTATTTTTAAAATTTTGATTATAAAACCTCAATTTGCTTCAAAAATTTCCTACACTTTAAAAAATGTGTGATGTTCCAATATTCGTATATGATCCGTTAACTGAGTTATAAAAAGACAACTTTAACCTTACTAATTAATATTAAATTACAAAAATACTCTTTAATCTTTTTCTTCAACCCTCTCCCACCCTCTCTAAAACATTTCTTTTGTAATTTTAAAGGGACAATAAGTAGGTGTTCACTAGTGATGATGTACACCGTACTGAACCAATAACATAGATATACACCATCTTAGACCAATAACAAATGCACACATTCTATTTTAATTATCAAATTTGAAACACCAGTGAGTAGGTCAATCCTACTGAAAACTAAAATGTTACACCAATGAGTAGGTCAGCCCTACTGACAGCTAAAATGTTATTGTCCTTATTTATCATTTTCGTGATTTTCATTTGTGATAGGACCACATCAACGGTCCCCTCACTATATACCGGTGGGTGGGGACCTAATTATTGTCCATTTTTAAGGATATTTTTGTAATTTATCAAAATTAATTTTTTTTAATGTACAATCAAATTAAATTAATCAATAAGCTTTATTCAATTCATATGTTGATGATGAACTCTAAAAGATACTGTATGCCATTATCTTATTCAAAATTTAAAGTAGTTGTTCCAAGTGAATGTAGTCAAGAAGTTAGAGAATCAAAATATATATTCTCACTTAATGTAGATCAATTTAAAAATAATTAATGTTAACCTCAATTCCAAACACTATAAAATTCTTTCAACTCAATTGAAAGCTGCTTCTCCAACACCCAAGTCATGCAAATTTACAGTGTGTATGTAAAGGTTGTGTGTGATTGGCATTGTGATTTCGTAGAGTACAAACGATTTTATTTTTGAAAACTCATTTTTCCTAGATCTTACGTCTACTTTAAAAAAGAATTCATAGGCACCAAAATTTTGAACATTGTTCAAAAAATTGATAAAAAATTTAAGTCGTCAAACTTATCATCAATTTAAACCCGAAAAATTAAAATCACAATGCAAATATGCACATTAAAATCGAATGCAATCATAATGTTATTGACTTGTTGACATAATGAAGTTCCCAAAAGTTTTGGTTGTTAAAAGTTTAGATGGTATTTGAAAATGTAATATCTAGAACATTTTTCATAAAAAATGCTCTAATAAACATAAGTGCATAATTTAGTAGTTGTATTTCTTTGAAAAGAAAGTTGAGGGTTGAAGTTAGAATAAAAATGGTTGTTCGAGTTACTTGTCAATCACAAACATATTACAATGATACAAAAAAAAAAATAAAAAATAAAAACAAAAAATAAAAAATAAAAACAAACTAGAAAGCACAAAATCTGGATTTTATAAGAAATCAAATTGATAGTGCTATGGAGCAGCTGAGAGACATAATACTTGAGAAGGCCGAACCACTAAAGTAGACACAAGGTATTGGTGGCCCCACTGCTGCTGGTGGCCCCACAACTCTATTGTTTCTCTTTCGGTCTTCGCACCAACATCGGTGCTAATTTGAGCTATTCAGAATTTTGAATAAATCAGAAAAATAAATGCATTAAAATCTAGCCCTTTGAGGATATCTAGGATTCAGTTTCATCCTTGAATCAGTGGCACATTTTTTACGTTTTCAATTTAATAATAGACATGCGCTTACAGGTGATGTATATGTCAGAAGTAGCTCAACTTCCAGAGGATTTCCGGCTTTCCATATTAACTGTTCTTCCTAGTCACAAGGTTTCGAAAACGTGTTCTATCAAGTACGAAAGCGTGACAACATCTAATTCATAGAGTGAGAGCGGAGGAGCGTTAGAGCAAAACATCTGTTTAGAAGAATTGCTTTAATGGAAATTTGTCACAGTAAAGGCACCAGATATGATATATATCTGCTTATTGTATAAAGCAAAACTTTCTATGGACACAGACAAATTGGGTAACAAAACAAAGCAGTATTTCAAGCTTTTTTTGCTACATTATTCTAAATCTAAATCCAACATAACATTTGTAGAACATGTGGGTTTCATTTCATACTAAGCACGGGCAAGCAGGAACCATCCACCGTACTTGTGCTGCATTTGACAAGAATAGGGCAGAGCATGAACAAAATACATGATAGAGGGGAGAACAATAAATACAGAAAGAGGAAGGGGAAAATTAAGTAATGGACTCTCTGGATTCCCTCAACATTTTGCACAATAACTAATGGTTCCTATAGTTGAGCTCGGATATGCATGATGATAAGGCTTCTCTTACTGGGAGATTGTCCGAGTCCATTTCAAGTGCATCTTCAAACAGCCTCTTTGCCTGCAGCAGTAACTTCACCTTCTCTTTATTTTTTCTTGGCCGTAGGTGAGATCTTTGTTGTAATGCCACGCCCCACCTGAAAAGAGCTGCAATCCACCAATGTCATCAAAAGCTCAACCTACTCAAGACAGTATCTTCACATTTGACGTCAAATACAAGAGCACAAATATTTCAAACCGGCGTGCACATTATACTTGTAATCCAAATAATGAGAATACTTCTCTCTTAACTTGTAATCGACAAAATTTTTAAGAGCAAGATATTTGAACTATGAATTGAGATGCAAGCGAAAAAAGAACTACTTTATTAAATTTTCTTAAAATTCGGTAGGCAATCTTCGCATCAAAAAACCATTGGAGCTTATGACAGGAAAAACCCATTAGAAGTTGAGTTGTGATTAGAAAAGAAAAAATGATTTCTATCAGCGAATGAGAACAAAGTTAAAGTCTCTCATTTATGAGATGTGCTTGAAAATTTTGATGAGTGTATGAGATTGCGTTTAACTTTAAAATGCATTTGAAGCTAGAAGTTGCTTTCAGAAAACATAAATAAATTAATAAAAGTTCTTAAGGAAACAATAATTTCAGAGTTCTAGCAAAAATTGGACCAAAATTAATCCACATTATAGCAAAAGAGCATTAGGATGCTGGTTCAAGTCTGAGGGTGGAGCCACTTTGTCCAAAAATAACCTCAAAAGAGTTGGGCTTGTCTTTCCTTCCCAGCAGGACCAACACTGGGAAATGGCCTTTTATGACCATTTAGTCACTCATTTCAAATTTTTAGTCACTTAAGGCAACAGATAACTTCATGTTAGTTTTTTTTATTGTCTATTAACATAGATATGTCAGCTTCATGAACTCACAGGAAGGAGCAAAGTATCATTACCATCAGGTGCATAAACATTGCTTTTGGACATCATGGCATCAAATTTGTCAATCGCAGCCAAAAACACCTTGTCAGCATCAAAAGCCGCTTCCTGAAATTCATAGAGGTATGCCAAGTATTAAATTTATGGGGACAAAAACTCAAATTGCCTAACCAAATCAAAAGTTTTTCAAATAATTTTATGCCAGTTAAAAAATAAGGTAGATATCATAAAAATAACCAAAATTTTGACAATAAAGTTAAAAAGTTCTACTCCTCTTAACTGACTGATTTTTAAAACCCAATTCAGCTTGTAGGCGTTCAAAGTTGATAAACATGATAAAAGTGAAAACAGAATGACATCCCCATGTTAAGAACATGACTTACTGGTCCAATTTCAGCAATCAACTGTGCGCGGAAGGAGAGGGCAAGACCCCAGTTATACAGCGCTCTCATATCATTTCCATCAATTGACAACGCCAACCTATATTTTCTTCCAGCCGCAACAAGGAGTTCTTCACACTCTTCACAAACATTAACAAGAGCAGATGCAATTTTATCTTTACTCATCTCCTGTTCGTCTTGTTTTAGGGGTATTCTACCCCATTTCTCAACTGATAAGGGATCACTATTCGCAAGTATGGCTCTCAACTCCCGGCTGATCTTTAGTTTTAATTCTCCATGAAGAAGATAAGTGTTTCCCAACAGCCCCACAGCCAATAAACTCATGGGCTTCATGTCTATGGCACTAGAGAGTAATTTGGCAGATTTGTTTAATACAGTCTCTGCATGTCCTTGATCACCTCTATGCCTTAAACATTCCCGCGCTTGTTTTAAAAGGATGTTAGCTTCCACAAGATACCTATTGAACACCAAATCATCTGAAACAGATGAAGACGGAGACGCACCAAACTCACCTTCATGTGTAGAGTGATGATCAGCGAGAGAGGAACCACCATCATGAGTTGTCCTCTCTTCTTCCCTGATAGGAGATCTATAAATCTCTTTTTCACTCTTCTTCCTTCTGTCATAAGGTCTGCCATTTCCATTGGACATCTCAAGTCTCTGCTCTTGCTCAAAAGATTCTTCATTTCTCATTCGCATACTGGCACTAAAATCCATAGAATCAAGCAAATTTTCATGGGATGCCCATCTTTTAACTTCATTATGATGACCCATCTTCAGAGAGATTTGGTGATTGTTCATAAACCGTGTTTTGTTATTTCGGTAACTAAACTCTTTACTTTCAAAAACTCTTTCAGCACTACCATCTATCTCCGCAAAATATATTTTATCATTTTCTGCTAGTACATTTATTCTTCTAGTTTCATCGACCATGTTTTCTGCTCCATTCCAACCAATATGAGGCTTATTATTAGAACTTCCAGAAAGACCAGCACTCCCATTTTTTACATTTCCACTGGACAGAGAATCTAAAACCTTTTTTTCAACTGCCTGAGCTAAAACATTTCCAAGGTTTTGATCATTCACCTCTAAATGCATTGAATCCTTCTTAACACTATCTTTCATTTTATTAGGTTTTGAACAGACCGGATTTTCTTTACACAAACTGCCAATAAATTGAAACAGATCATGCCCAGTTTCACCCAATTCTTTCTTTCTCCTGCTTGACTTTTGATTCAAAGTTGGTTCCACCTCTTGGTTCTCAGCTAACATACTGTCAATACATGCTTCAACAACACTTCCAGCATTCAAAACAGATAAACTAATTAAATCCATGACCTTTACATAGTTTTTCAAATCACTAACAGTAATTTGATTACACTCGATACCTCTTTCTATGTCATTCTTTAAATTACTAACTTTACCATCCAACTTTTTGAAAAAATCCCCCAAATTTCTCAATTTTTCAACTAAAACCCTAAGATTCTCATTCTTTGGCTTTTTCTTAGTCCCAATTAAGCTTGAATCATTAATTTGTCCCCCATTTACAAACCCAATAGAAAACCCAACACCAAAAAGAAGAACACAAACTGGAAGCACAACAATTGAAGAAACCCTAACCCTAGAAATGGTCAAAGCACATACAAAACCCAACAAATACATAAACACGTACTTTCTGTCATCAATTCCTAAAGAACTCAGACGATTGAGAAGCTGATTTGACTCACCAAATTGAAACGAGTCTTTACCGAGTCTAGGATTGTCCCACCCGCCATAATTCGGTGAATCAGAAGCTGTGGCAGAGCAGAACGTCAGGGCTTTGGTATAACAAAGCCATTTTCTGTGGGGATAGTCGAGGAATTGTGGATTTTTCCGAGAAAGTGATGGAAAGTGGAAAAGAAAATTTGGAGGTGGGAACTGAGTATTCAATTGGTGAATAAGAGATTCAGAAATTAGGGTTTTCATTTTTTGAGCTGATTAGAGTGGATGCTGTGAACAGAGAAAGTTTGTTACATTGAAGCGACTCTGCTCCACCAACCTGAGCACAACAAAGTTGCCCCCAATCCGGGTATTTTCGTAAACGAAATAAAGGTCAAATGTATACACACGTCATCTCCTTCTTTTTTTGGAGTTAATTTTATTTTTATTTTTTTTTATTATTTTTTATTTTTTTGTCTTTGGGTTGTGTGGACTCAAGGTAGGGCCGAGTGCTCGGGTTAGGCTCCCGACACTTTATTCATTTCATTATTATATATTCTACTCTCGTGACATTATAGAATTGCATAACACTTGTATGCATTTTAATTTATATTTTTTGGGATATTTGTGCAATTATGTTGTGGGGATATTTTCATTTTTGGGATCTTTGTGTAATTATCTTTTCAAGATATTTTAATTTAGGGCATTAGTGCGATTATCTTTTGAAGATATTTCTATGAGTAGGGGTGTTCAAAAAATTTGGTAAACCGAAAAACGGGACCAGACCATACTGAATTAGGCGGTTTGAGCTAGTTGTACAGCAGTTTGGCCCGGTCCTGAGCCCAAAATTGTGGAACCGTAATTTTTCGGTCCGGTCCTGATTTTGGATCATGCTGGACCGGACCAACTCGGACCGAACCGTTACTATGTTATATATATATATAAAGGTTCTCACGCGGTCCAAAACAATGGACTTTTCAACGAACCAAAAGTCAATTAGGAAAATAGTTAATTTACTATAATTAACCAATACCTTTATTCAATCTCTTCTCCTTAATCTCTTCCATCCTCCTTACAATCTCAACCACTACCGCCATATCCACACCATCACAATGACCATCTTCACCACCACAGCCACAATACAACTACCATATTCATTCTCCAAATCCAGATCCAGGACATTCTCTCTTTCTCTCTCTTCTTTTTGCACTTTGATTTTTTTTATTTTTTTGCTCTCTTTATTTTTTTTCCTTTGATGGCCTAACTATTGCTCTCTTATTTATTTTTTATTTTTTTGGTCGACCCATTATTCCACCCATCGTGAATAAGCTTCTTCTTTTTTTATCTAATTTTGGATAATGAATTGAATATGGTAGTTGTGTTGTGGCTGTGGTGGTAAAGATGATGACTGTGATGGTGTGCATATGGCAGTAGTGGTTAAGATTGCAAAGAGGATGGAAAAGATTAAGGAGAGAGAAATTGAATAAAGGTATTACCTAATTATAGTAAATTAACTATGGTTAAGTCTAATAAAGTAATAAAGTGTAATTTTCCTAATTGACTTTTGGTCCATTAAAAAGTCCGTTGTTTTGGACCGCATAAGATCATTCCTGTATGTATATGTATGTATATATATATATATATATATATATGTGTGTGTGTGTGTGTGTGTGTATGTATATCATATCCTAAACATAAATCAAGTAAAGTTCTTGCGTGCCCTTTTCTTTTATTGTTTAAATTTATTTTTTAAAAAATCAAATTTCCCTTTTCAAATGTATCTCAATTTTCTTTCCTTTCAAATATATCTCAATTTTCTTTCATTTATTTCATCTTAAAATTCTTCTTCTTCTTCTTCTTCTTTTTTTTTTTTTTTTTTTTTTGCTTGTTATATCAATGTTAGTTGATTTTTTATTTTTATTTTTTTAAAAATTTGCCCCCTCTAAAATAAAATAAAATAAAAAGAAAATCAACTGAAACCGCCAAACCGAATCGATTTTTCGCAGTTTGGTTTGGTTTGGTTTCATGGACATTATAGTTTGATCTGATTTAAAAAATAATGGAACCGTTATAAAATGTTTGGTCCCAAAATACTCCCAATCCGGATCGTGTGCACCCCCATCTAGGAGGGACTTTTGTGCAATTAGGGAAAAGTTAGGACAAGTGTCTCATTTTCATTGGACCATGTGTTTAAAGGAGATTGGTAACATGTGTAGGGTTTGGATGGTGCCAAGTGTGGGGTTGGATATGTGTTTAGTGTGAAGGGTTAAAATTGTGACAAGTGGAAGGCTAAGATGAGTGTATGTGTAAGAGGTAGTGTAAGACAACATAGTAGAGATATATCTCATTGTCTTACAACTTTTTCATTGAAGCTTTATCTTCTCCAATTCCTTTCTCTCTCTAAACCTCCATGATGCTTAACTTAAAGCTTAGATTTCACCATCTTCCTCTCACCTTTTGCTCACACCAAAGAATAAAGAAAGCTTGCTTGCATCTTGGACTACAAAGCTCGATCTTGTTTTGGATATCTCATTGCTCATCTTTTCCTTGGATTTCTCATTAGTCATCTTTTCCTTGGATTATAGAAAGGCTTTCTCTAGTAGAGGTAGGGGGTGTAATATAATTGTAACCTAGGAGTTTTCATTATGTTTTAGGGTTTATCATGAGTTATATGCATATTGTGTGAGTTGTAGGAAGATTCGTTGAGATTTACTCCATGACTTAGGCTATTATATTGTTCAAATGCATGGTTATATGTCTTCAAAGCTTATTGTTTATGTAAAAAGATGATGGTTTAATGTTGGCTTCCTTGATGTATAATTGTTATTACCTTGTTATTGTTCTTGTCATTATAACTTGTTAGAGATTAGTATAATACTTGTGTGGCTGTGTAGCTAAGGTATTAGAGACCTTAAAGTATTAGCATGAAACTAATCCTTTATTTGATTTCTCAATGTTAGCATATACACTTGTATAATTTGCTTGATATCATGCCATGTTTAGCCTTAGAAACTTAGGACATGGAATGTTTGATCCTTACATCTTATGTGTGCATGGAAGGTGAAACTTGTGCATTGACTATGTGGCTATATTGTGGAAATGGTTGTTGATTTTGGGAGGATCTTGTGACATTGTTTCTTTGATAGCTAAAGTTAGGCTCTAGTGAGGGAGGTATGAGGTATCCCCATTTATAGTGGTCACTTGGGTAGTTCCCTACGAGTTAGTAGCCCGAAAAGAGCTCATTTGTCGTGGTTGTGATGTTCATAACCGGAAGTGTATGTGAGTCCGAAATATTCCTATTATGTGATTTCGTATTTCTTTTCCAAGTTGACAATCTTATGTATTTGCGGCTTGGGGTTTTTGGTTTGGATGTTTTAACCTTGGCAACCTTTATATGATTTTGTATTTCGTTTCCAAGTTGATACTTTGATGCAAATGTAGCTTGAAGTATTTGGGACTAGATGTTCTAATTTGGTTATGTGCATTCTTATGATGTGAATTCTATTTCCATTGCTTCTAATGTTAGTTCTAAGATAATTCATTAGTTTTACCCTTAAATTAGACGTATAAGAGGCATGTTCCACATATGTATAGATTATGCTATTCTTATGAGGCCAATGAAACCTTAGGTTATCCTCGTAATGCACTTTCCTACGAAATAATTTAAGTTACTCACACCCATTGATAAACATTTTTCAAGACAATGCGTGCTTGGCATGAATGTAGTTCCATCTAGCTTGGATGTATTACTTTTGTTCTTGTTTGAGTTATCTTGTATATAGGAAAGCTTCTATGTATAAACCATCTTCTGAACATTGATGTAATTCTCTTTCAAACATATTGTATATTGGAAAACATTTGATGTTATATAATGAGGCCAAGGGCCATTTTATTTCAAATTACTTTTGCTACTTCAATGTACCCATGTATGTATTCATCTCATTCCATGTTTAATTTCACTTGGGATTGACCTTAAAGGCCTTAGGGATTATTTTTTGGGCAAAAGGAAACAATGTACCAAAGATTGAGTTTTCTGCTTTTGTAATTTTTGTCACGATTACTATATATCCATTTTTTTTTACAGCCGAGCCAACCACTCTAAGACATTCTGGGTCATTTGGGTGTATTTGAACAACGCATGTAATACCCTTAATTTTAAAAGAATAGTCCTGGTATTTATTTAATTGTTTAATTGAATTTTTAATTTATTTAATTGATTATTGGTTTGTTTGTTTGTTTGAATTAGTTGTGAGTTTTATTTAATTGTTATTAGTTGTGAGTTTATTTAATTGTTATTTAATTGGATTTTGGTTTACTTTAATTGATTAATTGATTTACTTGTACTTGAGAATTAATTGTGTTCAGTGTAGTTAATTATTTTATTGAATTTAGTTAATTATTTAATTGAATTTGATGTTTCCTTCTAAACATGGTTGTATATAGGGTTGCACATGTATGGTTATAAATTAGGCTTACAATTCTTATATGTAGCCGACAATTATATATCATAGGTTAGTTTATGGGCCAGGTAAGTCAGTTAGGGTTTAATGGAACCTAAGATTAGTGGCCTATAAATATACGGGTAAAATTTCGCCTAGGGTTTTAGAACCCTGTTCATGGTGGTGGAGGCAGAGAGAGAAACCAGAGGAGTAAACAGATAGTCACCGAAGAGTTAATAACGACGTCGGAGTAAGACAAGTTCTAATCCTAACTCTATTCCTTAGGCTTGTGTTCTTTGCATCTCTAACACAATTCCAGGAAATCTATAAAGATTAAAAGTGGATTTGTTTGCATGTCTCTGTTGTTTTGTTTAAACTGAACGTAGCATGGGTTGCACTGTTTATTTATAATCTTTTGTATGTAACTCGTAAATTAATTCACATAACTAGATGTTTAATTCATGTAAACTGATATATCAAGAGTGAAATTAGTTTTTAACACTCAGAGAAGCATTAACATTACACCGGTTCACATGGTTGAGTTTTTTCAGAACAGTGTGTGTTCTTGAAGGGAAAAATGCTCATTCTAACTTTTTGTTGCATAAATCTTGTTCCGATTGTTGTCAAGGAGTGACTAAGGCCTTAAACTATTTCTGGATCACACTGGGATATAATTGTAACCAGTAGTAGCCTTAGAATTTAAGATGAATGCACCAAACGTTGCCGGAGAGGACACAATTGGAGAAGATGAGCAGATTGGGAGCAGAGGGCCAAAGAGACGGCTCCCCACAAGGGGAAGCCGGCTCCATCAATGGTAGAGGCGGCTCCACATGGTGTGGAGCTAGCTCCACTCAAAGGGGAGGCGGCTCCCTTTGTGGGGAGACGTCTCCTTCTTCCTCCGTTGTGTTTTTGACCCACTGTGTTGATTTTGGACTGA